CAAGAATTGCTTTCACGGTTCATTTTGTTTGGGGGGCGAGGGGAATTTCCTGAGACCTCCTCACACATGCCAAACACATGCCCCAGGATAGGTGGACACATCTTCCACTTTCAGTGCTTCTTATTCTCTTGTGGACCCAATGTAGCTCTGCTGGTGCTCACAATAGAGCAGAAACATTTTCTCCATTCTTTCCTCACCCCAACTATTAAGCTTTAAAGTTTCTTGTTTTAGTGCTGCTATTAATTTCACATTAAGAAAGATACAATTGCATTGGACAGTCCTATACAGAAGAAATGATCTAGAGAACATAGCTCCTAGTAGCATTAACACTTTATAATTGACCAGACAGCTCTGTCTAACCCCGAGTTTCCATATATTCTGCAGTCAGGTTGGCTTGATTTTGAGGTGATAGAAGACAGAATGTTTCCAGATGACAGGATAGTGATTTCCAGTAATTCATTAAAAACCCAAGGCTATGCTCTGGGACCCTCTGCTCTTTTGCCACTATGGGACAAAGCTTTAGATGCTGATAGCATTGAAGGTGGCTTCAGCTCCGACGACGATTGTGCACATACCTCTCAATTTAAGCGCTAGAGGCTTGCTCTGGGTTCTGTCCTTGCAGGTGACAAGGTATCTGTACATGAGTGCCTGTGGCCCTTGGAAATGCCAGTGCCCCCTTCTTCACCAAGACTAGTCAATGCAATAGCTTGAGTCAGGGCTGCAATGTGAAGGAAAAGGCCCTGTCTGTCTAACAGAATTTGCTAGCGTCCTATTCTCAAACACCATCCTTAACTCCTTTCCTTCTCATTTTGCAGAAAGGATGATTTGCATCTCGCTCCTTCAGCTGGAAAGCAGCAGGGAGTAGACTGAACCGGTGCTGCTGATGCAAATTATAGTATTGTGACGATGGATATTGGGCAGAATGCCCCTTGCTCCTCTTCAATGGTAGCCTGATCCTTTCCATTATTTAAAGTTCAGTTAGGCAATAATTTGTATGTTCCCAAAGGCACCGGCAAAATGTTTGGTGAATCGCTCAGTGCTTTTCTTTCATGTGTTTCTTGATGGGGGTGTTTTTTAACAAATAAATTGGCAGCCTGAGCCCACCATGTGCTGGTTAAAGATTTTTCTGAAGTGCCAAGAACTCTCAATAGAGCCACAACGACATCAGTCTGAAACTGTCAGACCCCATACACAGGAGAAAGCAACAGGATGCTGGCAGGTTCATCTTCTCTCCAGACTCTTCCTTCATTTCATTGCCTCCAGTGGCAGTTCTCTTAAGAAAAGACATGAGTTTAGTGATCCGAATAGCGCCCGACTGTCCAATACTTGATTTCACTATAAACAAATCTAACAGCTTTGACTTCCACTGTTGGAAAAAGCTCTACACCCTGTAAGACTTTAAGAGTTTTTTCTGATCTGATCATTTTGCTCCACAGCAAACTGGAAATCAAACCCAACAGGGACGGCGTCCCTAGCCTTTGTTTGGCAGAAGCTGGGAATGGGTGATGGGATGGATCACTTGATGATCACCTGCTCTGTTCATTCCCTCTGAAGCACCTGGCATTGGCCACTGTCGGAAGACTGGATACTGGACCATTGGCTGACCCAGCATGGCCGTTCTTATGTTCTTAATAGTGGCTGTTTGAATAACTGGGTGTCTTTAAATTGAGACGTCTCAGTTCTCCGAGACTGAGAGAACGAACCATTTCAGAAGAGGCTTTCACCTTAACTAGACAAAGCCTGCCAGCTAGTGCAAGTCCTGTTGATCTTACTCTGTGCAACTGCTTCGATATCAACATTTGTCAGATTCCAGATATTTCTAGATTTCATGGGAAAAGTCCATTCTGCCCAGTTCTTAGTAAAACAGGCACATTCCCTCTAGACAAGACAAATGGAGGCTCCCGTTAAGAAGCCCAATAACAGATCATGGGTATATTATTATTTACTGAGCAGAAACAATGCACTGTAGACTCATATGGATATTATTTTTTGAGCAGAAACAATGTGCTCGGTACTGTACAACCATATAAGGACTGAATCACTATACTAAAAAGCTTATAGTCATGGAGCTACATGTCTTTGTCTAGGACAGTCTGCAACAACCAACAGCTCAATTGTGGAGCCTGTCTAACTTGACAGGGTCTCGTTATGTTTTAAACATTATTTGCCTTTAATGGATCCTCTGTATACTCAGCTGCTCATCTGCTTTTAATTTACAGCTGTTGAAAGGGAATCTCCGTATGGACTAATTTCCAGGGTATTGAATGTTTCAATTCTATGTAGCGAGTACACAAAGCAAGGAAGATGAAAGACTCATCACAATTAACAAGGCAGTAGATTTTCCATTCTTGCTAGACACTTTATAAAGCCAAATCTGGACCATCCATCTGCAGGGACGTATGAACTAATTCAGCATCATGTGCAGTGTGACTTACTCAACAGCCTTGGAGATTACAGATATGGGGAAAATATAGCACAAGTATTTCAGAAACCTGGACAAAAAGCTATTATAAGCATTAGGGAGCAGGATGAATACAAGTCAATCGTGCAGATAACGTGTGTTCCAAGCTTCTCAAGCCCTTTAAACAACTTCTCAGAGGTGTGACAATCTGCATAGCAACATTCAGGATATTGTCTGTTCTTTCAGAAATGGACCATTCTTAGCAGTGTCATTTGCTCTTTTAAAAGGGAGGATGCTGCTATTTTATTCAGTCAGAAATCTTGCTTCAGGAAATAACACAGCAACAAGTCTCCTAGCAAACCCCCAGTGCAAGAGTTTTAATTGTCCTTAATAAGCAGAGAGAACCAAATGAGAGGCAAGGGAACCTGCAATTACAGACACTGTCCTCAATTAATTAGTGCCTGGTCCTGAACACAAGCTAGGGGAGATATTAGACAGCACAATAGGCTCATTGCTTCAAAAAACCACACACCTGCCCACAGCCATAAATCCAGCCCAACAAGCTGCTCTGGTCTCCAGACAACTCTTCTTTTAGCTCTCTATTAAGCCCCAGTATCTAGCTGCAGGCAGCACCTTAATGAAAGGAAATGGAATACGTTGGTGCCTTAAGAGTCAAAGTCTGGGCGAATGTCCTGGGGATCTGATGCAGTTACTTTCCATCCCTGCTAACGTACCTAGCCCATAGTCACTCTCCCAGCTGAAAGGGCCTGTGTGTTACCCTTCTGTGCAGAACCATCTTTTAGCAGCATGGGCAAGGCAAGTTATTTGTCCACACAGGGAACTCAGGGCAAGTCTATCAGAAGTGAGATCAGTGGGGGGAAAAGTTACAATTGTCTAACTTTCCAGCAGCTTCACTTGAAATCTACTAGCTGCAACAGATGGAGTTGAAACTAACCAAGACAGCCCTTCTGGCTTCCATAGCCACTGCACCCCCCCGTGCTCCTGTTCACCCTATTTCCTGAAAGCTTTTAACAACAGCTGGAAGCCTTGGCTCTTAGGCCAGCACTTTCACTCTCCCCGAGGACTGAGTCACTGCTTGTTTTTCTACTGCACACAATCAACTTGAACGGCCCTTTATACTGAGGCAAGGGAGAGGCGGAGGAGCGACCTTAGGAAGAGGAGGGCAAAACACAAAGCATGGAAAGGTTACCCTGGAGACCTCTCTCTGGAATATGAACTCTGGCATATGCTTCAGAAAATACCTTTGGTGGCTGTTGAGTCAGCCTCTATTCTGACTCACTGCCCCTTTCAGCTGACAGTGTGTAGTGGGGAGGGTATTCAAGACCAAATAAGAATTATTACTTTCATTACAGATTTGTTTGAAGGTTCATCATGAATCAGATCATCAAAAACACACTTGACCTTGCTATATTTTTGCAGGCTTCAGGGAAGAACTGCCTCTCACCATGCTCCTGGGCTAAGTGGCTTCCGCATACCAACATGATCTTTGGAGCAGAGACCATCAGTTACAGGCCACTCCCTCCCCCAAACTGAGTCTTTCAGGGGAATTTTATTTCCCCTGTTCCTAAGCCAGTGGCAGCTGGCAAGACAACACATGCAGCTCTGGGGCAGAAACATACCCTTTTCTTTGGCACCAAATGCTAGGGAAGAGAAGCCCAAGGTTTTTTTGCATGCAGCTACAACTCCAGAGGTTTCCTTGTTACTGCTCTAAAGCTTATGGGGCTTTTCTGCCCCCGGGATCTTTCAAGAAGCTGCTGCAGCAGGAACATTTTCCTCTGTGCTCCCTGCTGCAGGCTGCTGAGTAAACTGTGCTGCTTCCTACACCCTATCCACTCACCAAGACAAGCATTTAGAATGAAGAATGCAGCCCATACTTGGTGGCCTAGAATGATCTTGCTAGGGGAGAGAGAGGCTACCCAGTGTTCCCCTTCCTGCTCCCCAGACACCTGGAGACCCAGGGGAGGGTTATTAGTTATCTAGCCCCAGGAGCACCACATTGGAAAGATCCCTCCTGAAGACAGAGAATGTTGGTGGGATGGGTGTGGTCAAGAGAGGGAGTTGAACTTCTGCTGCTTGCGGCAGCTTTGAGAGGAAGCATGGTCCAGTGGTTAGGGTGCTACTGGCAAAGTAAGGAGACCTGGTTTCAATTCCCCACTCCCCCAGGCTTATTGTGTGATCTTAGGCAAGTGACAATCTCTGTACCTCAGTTTCCCAGCTATAAAATGGCAGTAATATCAGTTCCCTATCTCATATGAGGATAAATACATTAAAGATTGTGAGGCACTCAGGTACCACAATAACAGAGGCCACATAAGTACCGAAGACAGAACCTCAGTGTTCAAGTCCCCACACAACAGAATCCCAAACACACATTCTGGGTAGGTTCTATATGTTCACAGTTTAATCTTCACTCCTCCTTGATCCCAGGTGGCCGATCCAGTTTCCCAGCTAATGCACTGGAATCGTATGTTAATCAACCAATTTTAAAGTGGCAGGGTGAATTTGTATTAAAAACTCCTCAGGCTGGACTGCAGGATGAAAAGCGGTGACATTAACAAACATCAGGCAAGAGACAGAATTACCAGATGGACACGAAGTCAAAGAACAGCTTTTATTGGTCAAGATAACAAAGAAACTTGTTTCTCCCAATGATTTTTTTAAAACAAGCTTTAACAGCTAACTACAAAAACTTTTACAAACTAAAAGATTCACAGGAATTTCAACAACTGCTTGTAATTTTGCTTGTTTATATTCAACAAGTGGTATTTGTATCCTTTGAAAACAGTTCTTATCCTAGACAAATTATATTTAAAGAAGAAAAACTAGGACATTACACAAAATGGTAAAAAAAGTTTGTAAAATTCAAATACATGCCTTTAGGAAAGGGGTATAAACACGCTGTGTGATGTGTGAATCTGCATGTTGACATAATGAAAAAAACAGGTTTTTGGGGTATAAAAATCTCATATGCAAACTAGACGAAGTTAATTTTTCCCTTTTCTTAAGATACAAACATTTTATTACATGAACTAACTACCTGGGATCTTAAAAAAAAAAAACAGAACTTTTGGCCTATTCAGGAACAAAGTACTCAGAACCCAAAAGATGCCTGCATTTTATCAGGTGTTCCTTAGCATGCATGTGCTAGAAAGTCTGATAGTTGGAAAGGTAATTATGTAGAGTGCTCAAAATAAAATGATTCACTTTAAAATTCAACATTGTTTACCCACAGTAACGAACAATACCAACAAGCGAAAGCAGACATTTCTGAGAAACAGCCGGCTGTCCTTCTGGTAACAAAAATCTCGTCATTTAAAAAATAATACTGAGATGCCTGGGCATGATATGCCAAAGTTATATGGAAAAGACTGATTCCCAGTGATATGTCTACATGAGCTGCTTAGCCTAATTTTGCAGTTTAGTGTTTTTGATATGCTGTAACCAGTAAACTGCTATACAAGTCTCTGCTAGTCAAGTTACTAAAGTGGGTGGAAATTACAAAAAAAAATTGTCAATGAAGATCAGTGTTTTTTTAAAAAAGGAACTAATAGCTACACACTGTCTCTCAAAATGCCATGTCATATTTGCGTTAAGCTGCATCCCACGCACACACCTTTGAGGATGTGTGGGCACAGAAAGCTGAAGCACGTCACTGCCAGAACAATACAGCGGTGGAGCTGAAGTGACTCCACGGAACTAAGCGGGAATTTCAGCTGCAGGAAGCTCTTGACAGCTATTGCTATGGTACACAGAACAGTGATGTGTGTTTATGACAGAATAACTTCACTGGAAACAGAAAGCCTGCTGCCCTTCCCTAGACATGATTTTACAAAACGTTTTGCGTTCTAACACCCGTACTACACATTTGGTAAGAAAATAGAGAGCATTTTTCAGCTTGTGGTTCTTCTAAACTACGGCAGGAGGGCTTTGCTAACACACCTCCCTCACTGGCAACCATCTGAGGTAATCCGTGATGCTGCTAGAACAGCAGCTTCTATTTCTCTCCCCCAGCATCACTCGCTGCTTCCTTATTGAGTCCTCGGATTGACAAGTCATAAACCACTTCCTCAATTTTCTTGACGTCGTACTTCAAGCCATCATAGCGCTTCCTCAAGGAGTCATTTTTCAGATTGAGGAGACGGAAGCCAGAATCCAGCTCGTTAATGAAGGTGGAGATGCGAAGAGGACGAGAATAGTCACCTGCGGTGACACTGTTCACTGCCAGCCTAGACTGCGGGGGAAACAAGTCAGATGGTATGGAAGAAGGTTGACTACACATGCAACTGCCAAGTCAGATCTCTCAAATCCTTCTGAAGACAGAGGTCACCTACCTTAATCTGTCTCTACAGCCAAACATGCTTTTCCTGTCAGTTTACTGAATGAAGAAGCATCAATGTATGGTAATCAGACTAATTATACTCATCATATAGAATGGTTTCTTGTGTAACGAGAATCCTCGCTTTCAATCAAGGCACTGATTTGAATCTGGACAGGATTAAGTTGAAGTAGGCACTTAGTTCTTCCCTTTCTGAGGTTCATTCCTAGTTGCTACCTTAGCATTTCATAGTAGCTGGAAAGTCCAGTTAGCTAAGAGTTCAACACCAGGGCATTATGCAATGTAACTTCTACCCTCCCCAAATGCAGGGTCTGGAAAACAAGCTACTGGCCATTCATTTTTGGTTGGTTTCACACTAGCTATCCATTTGTGTCAATATCTTTTACTTACCAACTCACTGGCAAGAGTCAGAATCCCAGAGAGGTAGTCTTCAATGTCCAGGTGAAAACCTCTCTCTCGATCAGCCTCAACTAAGGTGAAAAACAGAGTTGCAATCTGAATCAATATCATACCTGAATACAAGCAACAAGTTAGAAATGTCTTTATTTCAAGTCAGCTACAGAAGACATTTCAAACATAAGAAATCCGATGGCAATATAGAAGTCAGTTGTTTCCCCACATATAACGTAATTACTGCTCTTTTCCAGCCTTTTGACTTGGCTCCCATGTTGGTTTAATATCGGACATGTCCCCTACCTATGAGACAATACCCTACACTTGATCCAACAGGATCACAGAAGTACGAGAGTTTTCTGTTGTAAAACTTTTAGGCTCCTGAATTTTTTTTTTTTTTAAACATCCTCTGCTCTGTGCAGAGTTATAGCTCCAAAACATTAACTATGCTAACTTCTTATTTAACATTTAAAACAAAAGTAGTGGGAGGGAAAAAACAGACAAACAAAGACAACATCCTAGGCAAATTTAATTTCACATGGTTTTGTCAAGTATCCTTAGGAGTAAACAATTTCCTAAACTGCCACATTAAGCAAGAGAGTCTTTATTTTTCCCAGATTAAAACTTTTCGTAGTCTGGTTTGCATCTTTATGAAGATAAATTTCTGCTGGTATTTAATCTGTTCATTCCATAGGAAATTAAATCTAACTCTGCTGACCAATCTGGCATTTTGCACCTTGCCATGTCTCTGCAAACCACTAAATTTAAGAACTTCACAACTTTATCCAGTTTAATTAATATGAACTTACTTCCAAGTATTTCTGTAACCGCTTCTCGAGTCACTAATGTTTCTGTCTCCAAGTAGACAACAAATGCTGCCAGAAACACCAAGCGCTGTAGCACAAACCTCCAGTGTTCGTGAAATCTATATTAAAACACACAATGAGGTGAAAAAATTCATTCAAGACATTTTTACAACTTACATTAGAAAGGACTGAAAATTAAAGACTGAAAGTATTAAATATCTAGTCTACCTTATCCTATGTGTGCTGCATGTTTACTTTCAGCAGTGCTCTTCAGTTGGACACACTGCCAAGATTGACAGAACTGAAGTTTCACAGTTACCGATCCAAAAGTTATATTTTGATACAAACAATGGCTTCCTTGACAATGAAAAGAATTCCACCCCACAAATATGGGTTTAGTGTGTCAGTCTGAGCTTGTGGGTTTGGCAACCTGAACAACTCAAGGTGCTCAGTGCGAGATGATCAACAGAGATGTACAAGATGCAAGATAACCTGTTGGAGGGTTCACCTCCTCTCTCTAATCCTTTGTAATGGCTAACCTCATGTGAGCTGGCAATGGATTTAACTGACAAGATTCCTACTCTGAGAAGAGTACTTCAGAGAAGTCCCCTACTGGCAGGGAAAGCAAACAAGAGCCAAAGAGGACTGCCTCATTTGGGAATAATTCCCAATATCAGATGTATGTTTCATGACAGATTTGGAGCTTAGTTTTCAGAAATGCAACAGTACTAACAACTAATTGAAGTGAATGGAGGTGTGAGTGCTCAACGCCTCTGAAAATCAGGCCCTTAATTAGAGCTACTCAAAGCAAAGCCCAATTATTTCTGTCAGAAAGTCTTCAAAAAAATAGAAAATGAAAATTTTCAACTTTCAAAAAATGATTCTAGTAAGGAAAAAACATTTTTTTTTTTGAAAGCTGAACAATTTTACCAAAAAGTTTGGTCAAATAGCCATTTTTGATTCATGAAAAAAGTGTCAACCAATGCTACCCTTAATTTGTAGGGTAGAAAAAAAATGTTGGGGCCTATCACACCTTCACAGAATCCTTTTAACTTAAAGTGTGTAAAACCCATTTAGAATATCAAAACTGTCATCAGTATGGTTATTTGCAATCTTACAGACCTGTAGTACTGATCAGCTGGAAACTTGGTCTTCAGAGATGCTAGCTGTGTTTTGACTGCACCAAAGTGTTCCCGGGCCTTCTGACACTTCTTTGGTACTGAAAAAAAGAAACAGTGCAACATTTAGGAAGTGTCTAAACTAATTTTTGCAAAAGAATCCTGTGAATGTACATAACGCTACTTAAAGTTCTCCAATCAGCACACTCATGTTTACACATCAGTGCAGCAAACAGGCTAAGCGACTTGAACAAGGTCACACCAGGAGTCAGTGGCAGAGCAATGAAGAGAACTCAGGAGGTCTGGCTCTCAGACCTGAACTCCAACCACTAGTCCACAGTTCCAAGTTACATGAAAATAGTCACTCCATATTTATTTAGGAATCACTGGTCATCATTAAGTCTCAGTCACATCACAGACCCAGATCAGCAATAGCATGCAAATTAATTGACTATTCAACGATGAGAGATCTACTTTTCTTTCTGTTCCAAATCCAATAACTCACTACTAGATAAAAAGAAATATTATTACAATGCATAATAGCTGGGGTTGGATCTATGTTTTCCAGTAGCCCCTTCTGTTTTATATACATCTGAATGAATTATGTTTCAAACCATCGTTACCTATAAGATTACCACTCACAATCAGCAGGATTTTAAGCCCCTATTTAGAAAAGTAAGGTTTCAGGCTCATTTATCCACTAACCACTGCCACCTATAGATATCAAATACACCTTAACAGAAAACCATACAGCAATGTTTTGTTTTGCTACAACCAATGTAACAGTCTTATTTCAGCTTTTCTTATACATAATAATAAAAAAATATAATAACAAAAAAAAAAAAAAAAAAAAAAAAAAAAAGAGGTCCTCAAAAAGTTTGGGTTTTTTTACATGCTGAAAAACAGCAAAAGTGATGACAGACTATAGTGGCTATGAGGCAGGGAGAGATGAAAGTGTAACAATCTCCCCTTTAGGGGAAATGCACATTACACGAATACCTTTTTCACCACAGTCCCATAATTAAGAGCTTGTACTGGATTTTACATGACCGTGCAATCAATCTGAAGAGAGCATGCAGTGCCCACAGAGAAGGAAAAGAATTAACAGCAGGACAAAGGAAGAAGAGAAAGTGGGGTGATTGACAGAGCATGCAATAATGAAGAGCACATAAAGCAGAAGACAGACATGATCAACAATAAACCTCTGTATCAAGGAATGAAGACGCTGGTTCAGATTTTCAAATCCTTGGGACCAGAGCCACACAACTCCCTTTGAAGTTAATGGTTAAAATCTCTTCTTTACCTTTGAAAAACCTCAATCTCTATGCTTTTAAATTGTTCAAATCCAAGTCTTTTGTATGCCACCCTTTCTACGGCTGCCCAAAGTTCAGAAGTCCAGTACTCTATGTGCAGGCACGTTGAATTCTGGGAGGTTTTAAGTCATGACAGAGACCTGAAAATGCTGTGGCTTCTTACAGCACCTGTGAGAGGCAGGGATGTATTATGCCCACTTTCCAATGAGGAACGAGGCACAGACAGCTTCAAGGCCACAAACGAGCTGTGTGGCAGAGCTGAGAGGTGAATCCAGTTCTCCAAAGTCCCAGTCCAATGCCTGAGCCACAAGGCCAAGCTCACCCTGGTATGAATAGCTATGTATGGCAGTACCCGCACTTGGAGTGCAAGGGAAGTTCTTTAGCCATAGCAGTCCCACAGCACATGCAGTACCGTGCCTGCCAGAGTCCAAGAGCATCAGTGCCTTTTACCCCAGCTCTATAAATTCTGGTCAGAGACCAATGGAGGGAGAACAGCATTTCTTGCTGGATGAGATCTCATATTGTTTGTGAGGAGTACACACTTATGGGGAATGTGTCAGCCTTTAGGTTGATATCCACCACAGCAGACCCTCAAGGGCTCTGGAATACACACAGTTCACCAAGTTATGATCAATGCACAAGTCAATTTCCCTTAAAAACCAATAGCGTTGCAGCAGTTCAGGCACCAGTTATGGGAGGCCTATAGGGGCAATTCTATGGCCCATAAGTAGGTGAGTCACAGAATTGACTCTTACTGACTTCGGGGACTCCTGAGGTTTGGAACCCTGACATTTGGGGAGGAAACATCCAAACAAGGTTTCCTATTTTACACATACCATTAACTAAACAAAAAATAAATTACAAGAAAGTGGGTTAATATCAAATCAGTTACGAGGCTGAATAAAACACATCAAATAAACCAATAATTCCTTATAAAGTCTACATAATAAAAAATTGGGGAAGACAGCAGTCTTGTTTAACTATCAGTCCCTCAAATAAAAGGTCTGTATCAATCTCTGTGCTAATCAATATATTTAGGTTCCAGCCAAACAGCGGATACAAGGAGGGTCAAATCACTGCCAGGTTGAAGCTAATGTTGAGTCTACAGCTCTGATATCAATTAAGGTAATCTGCACAAATAATTGGTGGTTAGATGATAGCCAATTTCTTCTTACCCACCAAAACAGGGGTTACAAGGAAGCATTCCAATACAATTCAAGATGACACAGCTTGTTGCATTTAATGTTCAAACAGCATCTTGGGGGAAGATATGATCTTTCATGATTCATAGATTATAAACCCAGAATGAACCATTTTGATCATCAAGTCTGACCTCCTGTATAACACAGGCCATAGGACTTTCCTCAATTAATTCCTGTTCAAGCTAGAGCAGATCTTTTACAAAAAGACATCCAATCTTGATTTAAAAATTTACGGTGATGGAGAATCCAACACATCCCTTGTCAAGTTGTTAACCACCCTTGCTGTTAAAGCTTTGCGTCTTATTTCTAGTCTGAGTTTGTCCATCTTCAGTGTCCAGCTATTGGCTCTTGTTATATGTTTGGCTACTAGATTGAAGAGCCCTCTAACACCAAATTTTTGTTCCCCATGTAAGTACTCATAGATTATGGGGTCACCAGATCACAAGCTTCTTAGATAAGATAAACAGATTGAGCTCCACTATAAGGAGACTTGTTTTCCAATCCTTTAATCATTCTCATAGCTTTTCTCTGAACCCTCTCAAATTTATCAATATCCTTCTTGAATGCAGACACCAGAACTGGACACAGTAGTCTAGCAGCAGAAGCAGTAGTGCCAAATATAGGATAAACCTCTCTACTCTTACTAGACATTCCCATTTATGCATCCAAAGACCACATTAGCCCTTTGGTCACAGCATTACACTGGGAGCTCACGTTCATCTGATGATCCACCATGACCGCGAAGTTGTCACTGCTTTCCAGGATGGAATCCCATATCTGTAGGAATGCCCTATGTTCTTTGTTCCTAGATGAATGCCCTTACATTTGGCCATACTGAAATGCATGTTTGCTACTGCCCAATTCATCAAGCAATCCAGGTCACTCTATCAGTGACCTGTCCACTCTTTTACCACTCCCCCAATGTCTGGGTCAACAACAAACTTTCAGTAATGATTTTATGTTTTCTTCCAGGTCATTGACAAAAAATGTAAATAGTCTACTGACAAGAACCGACCCCATTAGAAACACACTGGCTCAGTGATGACTGTCTGTTTGAGACCTATCATTTAGCCAGTATTTATTCCATTTAATGTGTGCCATATTGATTTTGTATCATTCCAGTCTCCATCAAAATGTCGTGCAATACCAAGTTAACTGCTTTACAGAAGTCTATGTATATTGCATCAACACTATTACTTTTATCAGCCAAGCTTGTAATCACATCAAAAGAAATATCAAGGTAGTTTGATAGGTTCTGTTTTCCAGAAATCCATGTTGATTGGCATTAATATTAACCTTCTTTAATTCTTTATTAAAGAAGTCCCATATCAGCTGTTCCATTATTTTGACCAGGATTGATGTCAGACTGACAGAGCAGTAATTATCTGTTCAACTCCTAACCCAAGGAGTCTAGGTCATGTAACTTCATTAGCTAGAAAACTTGGTCCTTCAGCAACTATAAACTGGGAGGAATAAAGGGAAAAGAGAATCAAATGGTGAAGTAAGTCTCCTAGACTAAGGCCAGGTCTATACCTAAAAACTTAGGTTGACCTAGCTAAATTGCTCAGGCCTGTGAAAAATTTTACACCCTGAGCACTGTAGTTAGGTCAACTTAACCCCCAGCATGGCTGTGTCTAGACCAGGGGTAGGCAACCCATGGCACGCATGCCAAAGGCAGCACGCGAACTGATTTTCAGTGGCACTCACACTGCCCGGGTCCTGGCAACCGGTCCGGGGGGTTCTGCATTTTAATTTAATTTTAAATGAAGCTTCTGAAACATTTTAAAAACCTTATTTACTTTACATACAACAATAGTTTAGTTATATATTAGACTTATAGAAAGAGACCTTCTAAAAACATTAAAATGTATGCCTAGCACGCAAAACCTTAAATTAGAGTGAATAAATGAAGACTCGGCACACCACTTCTGAAAGGTTGACGACCCCTGGTCTAGACCAACAGAAGGATTCTGCGATAGATCTAGCTAATGCTTCTCAGAGAAATGGATTACTTACATTGATAGAAAACCCCTTTCTGTTGCTGTAGGGAGAGCCTACACTATGGTGGCACAGCTGCAGCCCCACGGCTGTGCTGCTGTAGGGGCTGTAGCGTAGGCTTACCTTAAGAGGAAATAGGGTACAGAACAAAGCAGGGAAAGTCTACACAGGTTGAGCAGGAAGGAGAATGAGGGTAGAGCATGGAGAGTCACTAGCCCTCTGACATATGACAAATCAAAGTATTTGTTTCTAGCCATCCTGCCTCACGTTATTAAGTCCTGCACCAAATCCAAAACTTTTGGTTCAGTTAGAGCAGATTTTTAAGGATGCCTCTACACCTCAAGCTGGAAAGTATGGCTATTAGCCAGGATGGGCAGGAATGGTGTCCCTAGCCTCTGTTTGCCAGAAGCTGGGAATGGGCGACAGAGAATGGATCACTTGATGATTACTTGTTCTGTTCATTCCCTCGGGAGCACCTGGCACTGGCCACTGTCAGAAGACAGAATACTGGGCTAGATGGACCTTTGGTCTGACCCAGTATGGCCATTCCTATGTTCTTATGGTATAAGAAGGCAGAATGGGCCTGCAAGGCCTAGAGGGGAGTGCTTGTGTTGCCTATGGCCAATGGACTTGGGGAGCTGACCCACAGTAGGCACATGCTTCCACATGCTAAGGGCAGGTGGAAGCGAAGTGCCCCATAACCCCTGGGAAGTGTCACAGTAGGTCTCAGATTCCATTCTCAGCAACAGTGGTGGGGGGATTCAGTTTTCGTCAGGTGTTTTCCCCCCAGCAGCTTTTGCTTTGTTTCAGATGTGGAGGGTCTTGCTGAAAAGAAATTGCTCGACTAACAATAGGCAGGTTGACAGTATAGTCAAGGAAAGTTGGTGTGTTTAACAAAAGATTATATATAAGTGTTTGATAGCATCCCTTCTTTCCCTGACCCTTTGTATCCTTAGAATGTAAGGATTTGGGGCAGATGCTGTCTTCCGGCTGTGACATCATTACCAGTCACAAGTGACTTACTGTCCTGAAATCCAGCGCCTTGGTGAACCCCCTGCAGCAGCGTTAAGATCTCCCGCGCCGTCTGTTCCAGGGTCTGAACCACTTTCCTGATCTCCTGCAAGTCGACGGCAACACGTCAGGGCATGGGATGGAGGAAGAAACTCCCGCCCAGAAACCCCCAGGCCCGCCCCCCTCGGAGCCCTGGCGACACCCTGATCCCTATAGCCGCGTGCGACGGTAGCCCGCCCCGCCGCGCGCACACCCCGTCCCTCCCCCCCCCCAGCCCCCGCCCCGCCCCGCCCCGCCGGCCCGGCCCTGACCTCTCGGATGTCCTGGTCGGCGGTGAGGACCCCCTGCAGGGTGATGAACATCTCGCTGACCGACATGGCGCGCCGCCAGGCCGGGCACGCAGGGAGCCGCCACCCAGGGGCTGGGCCGCTCCCAGCGCTGCCTCCGACCCGCCTCTCCCGCTCCCAGCCGGGGCCGCAACCGCTGCTCAGGGACCTTCCAACACGCAGGGCGCAGGCGCCACATGCGCGCGCGCGGCACAGGCTCAGGGGTCCTTCCACAGCCGCGGCGCAGAGCTGCTGCCCTTCCTAGTGCCGGGCCCGCTACCATCGCCCTGCTACTGCCACGCAGCGGGCCTCTACATTCCGCGTCGGGACCCCTTCTTCTGAGCGAGGGTTTCCACACTCCGAGCACCAGGGTGCCCTAGTCACTGCCTGGCTGCCGGCCGCCGTCTGGGTCCTTCTACGCTCCTGGCGCAGAGCTGACACTCACCCCTCGAGGCAAACGAAAGTTGGCTGCAGAGCGAGTTCAGCCTGCAGGGGGCCGCGTGAGCCATTTCGGACAGGCAGTGGGGTAGGCCCCCCGGGCCAGCGTGCGCAGGCGCAGTGCGCGCCTCTCTGCCCGCTGCCTTTCTTACCCTGTGGGGGGTGTCCTTGACTGCTCCCCCCTCCCCCGCGCTCTGGAGCGGGCAAAGCTCGGCCGTGGGGAGAAGGGGGGTGACCCCCCCCCCAGCATCCTCAAAGAAGCGGGGGATGTTTGTGTTACTGGCCGGCTTCCCATCCCGTCACAAGCAGCTGGAGAGCTGCCCAGCAGGGTGACCCGATAGCGGGTGGGGGGTTGGGGGCACCTAGATAAGAAAAAGCCCCAAATAGCGGGACTGTCCCTATAACATTGGGACATCTGGTCACCCTACTGCCCAGAGAGGGGGAGGAGGGGCAGGGAAGGGAACCTCGCGGGGCTCCTCCATCTTGGCCTGATCTCCCCACAGCAGAAGCATTTCAGTTCACCCCCCCCCCCAGAGGCGTAGTGAGCGCCCTCTGTACCCTCCGACCGGAGGGGGCCCCGCAAGGAAGGGGCCCCTAAAAGTGGCAAAATAAATACCGCATTCCAGTTTCTGCATTGTAAGGGGCCCCGCCCGGAAATATGTTCGGAGGGGGCCACGTTCTTTGTTGCTACGGCCCTGCACCCCCCCCATGCAGAACCCACGTTGTCTTTAATCAGCCCCCAGCGTTTCATTCTGAAACCCCCTTCCCCAGCACTTGTGCAACCCCCCATTTTTGGAAGCTTGTGGGATGTCTTCACCATCTCCCCTATGGCGGGAGGCGGGAGCAATAGCTCTTCACCCACTCCTCCAGGTTTGGGGAGGACAGTAGTTCAGGGGGTCTCTCTTCACCCCCACTCCAAAGCTGCAGGGGACAGCAGCTCACAGAGACTATTCATGCTTGGTGAGGACAGCCATTCATGTCTTAACTCCCCTCACTTGGTTTGGGGGCTGGGACAAATAAGCCAATGGGGGTGGCTTACAAGTCTCTCACCCCCTCTATCAGGTTGATCCTCTTGGGATCCAGGAAGTGGAAGCCCGCCCTCTGCTAAAGGACCTCCCCCCAGCCTAAGGGGAGGATCTACAGGACCTGGAAGCCAAGTGATTCCAGGGGACAACTAATGAAATAACAGGGACAGAAGTGCAATCAAAGGGTCAAACGAAGGGAACCTGACGGGGACACCGAGAGAGAACCCCGGACAGTGCCCACTGCTCCTCGAAGGCGTCAAGGGAGCCAGTGGACGCTGCCCAGAGGAACTCTGCTCGGATGCGTGAGCGGATGGAGGATCGGAAATAGGCCCCACAGTCACAGGAGACCCCGTCGGCCAACCTCCTCTCTCTGGTTTTATAAATGGCCATTTTAGCCAGGGCCAGGAGGAGGTTGACTAGGAGGTCCCGTGACTTTGTGGGGCCACGGATAGGGAGTGCGTAGATAGGAAGGTGAGGAGAAAAGTGCAACCAAAAACGTAACAGGATATCTAAGAGGAACTGGAATAGGGGCTGCAACCTGGCGCACTCCAGATAAACGTGCGCCAGGGTCTCCCTCACGCCACAGAAGGGTCAGGTGTCTGGGACAGGGGTGAACCGCGCCAAGTACACTTCTGTGCTCACGGCCCTGTGAAGGAGCCGCCAACTGATATCCCCGGCAGGCCTCGGGTGGAATATAGGCTGGCACACAGGGGCTCCTCACCCTCCAGAGGTGGCAGGAGGTCCCGCCACTTTGTGTCAGGGCGGGATGCAAGGGTGAGGAAGTGAAGGGTGTGGAGCAGGAGCATGTATAGATGTTTCCTCAGCGCGGTCTGGAAACGAACCGGCTGCAAGGCTCACAGTGAAGGGGTGAAGGGGAGGCCGTTTGGGTCCACGGGGCAGGAGCCTGACGAAAAGGTCCAGAGGGCTTGGGGTGAAGGGTGGGTGGGGCGTGCTCCTCTATCAGGTTGATTGGAGGCAGCAGCCTCACTGGATCTCTCTTCACCCCCCAACGAGGCAGGGCAGGGGCAGAAAGAGCATGGGGTCTCAATTTCTTTCCACTTTGGGGTGAAGGGTTGGGAGGGCAGCTGTTTATGAGTTCTTTCTCCAACCCACTCAGAATTAAGGGAACATATAGGACCTACTCACATATATTCTATCAAAACTCAAACAACTGAAATCTCTATTTTACTGAACAAATTATTAATTATTATTTATATTACCATAGTGCCTAGGAGCTCTAGTCGTGGACCAGGACCACATTGTACCTGGTGTTGTACAAACGGAACAAAAAGACAGTCTATGCCCAAGGAGCTTACAACTTCAAGACAAGACAAGAGATGGATACAGACAGAAGGGGAAATACAAGTAAATTGGATGATACTAGTCAGCGTGATTAGCACAGCAGCAGCCTGACTGTTGTCAGCATTTTTGTAGGCATCAGACAAAAGTTTTGCTAAGGAAACTCTGTAGGGGCCTCCTTCTGTCCCCATAGAAGTCTATATGGCCCAGATCCTCAGACATATTTTACTCCTGGGGGAATTCTGCAGAGCTGGTGGCTGCCACTAGGGGCCGCTGGACTCTACAGAGCCCAGCTCACCGGCTTTCATCCAGGGGATGGAGGCGCTCCATGCTTTGGCTGCCTGGCTTGATCCTCATCCATCCAGGGATGGTGTTACCCAGAGTTGTTTCAATCCAAAGCTCTTGGTAACTTACTCTGTGTGAGGTGGTGTCAGGAAATAAATCAATGGAGACATGGCCATCCGACCAATAGATGGCTGGCACAAACAGTACAATACAACAGTGGTTCCCAAACTTTAACAACCTGTGAACCCCTTTCACGAAAATGTCAAGTCTCGCGAACCCCCTCCTAAAAATGAATATTTCCAGGGATTTTCTCCTTTACCTGAGTATAAATTATAAAAGCAGTGATCTTGGAAATACACAATTTGTTTTTATGACATGCTTATTACATACTATTTATTATCTATCATTACAGTATTTTTATTACATTATGAAAACGGCAACACTCTTCCAAGATCTCACTTTTCTAGCTTGTATCGCTTTGAATAAGCCTGTTATAAGACAAGGCTCCTATGTTTCATCAAGAAGTATCAGATGAAACAGCATGAAGGTATTTAAGAAGCCAACTCAAAGACTTCCTCCTACAGAAGCATTCAGGTCTTGAGCAGTCCAGGCAAACAACGCACGTTACAACAAAGCTTAAACTTGTTCTTCATAATAATTTTAAAAACACTAGCTGCCTATTTCATTTTAAAAACAGCAAAAAATATCCACCTCCCTTTCTTTTCCTTATAAGGAGTCTTGAAGTTTAAATCTCCTCAGTGTGATAGATAGGCTTGCTTTGATCTGCTTAGCTCTTGGAAGTTCAGGGGCTCCGGGCTGCTGGCCCCGTGCTGCCTGAGGTACCTAGGGACAGTTCTGTCTGCCATTAGGGAATTTTTTCCCGAGAACCCCCTGTAACATTTTGTGAACCCCCAGGGGTTCACGAACCCCAGTTTGGGAACCCCTGCAATACAAGAGTGCTCTCACTTAAAGCTATACTTTATTTAGTTTCAAGCACTTACACACATCCACAACAGGTTAGTAAAACACACCCCAACCCTCAATAATTACTGAAGTTTGGTGTGGCTCTTGAGTGGTACAGTGGGAGCCATTGGATTGGCCTGTCTTTCAGCTATTGTTGAGGGCCCTAGTCCATGAAGTGATCCCAAAGAGACCAAACCTCTCTCCCCTTATTTATCTTGTTAGTAGACAACAGAAACAACAATCAAAAACCTTGTTAGGAAAGCAGTTTCAAAAGCTAAGCAAGAGGTTTCCTCAGATTACTAATTAGGCAGACAATCATGCGTCTGACGAAGTGGGTATTCACCCACGAAAGCTTATGCTCCAATACGTCTGTTAGTGTATAAGATGCCACAGGACTCTTTGTTAATTAGGCAGATGTATTCCTGCAGGGTCTGCATGCCTTGAGGCCCTGACAGACACATCCCAGAAGGCAAATATAGACAAGCTTCTTGTTTTTCTCCTAAAACACAGACCCCAGCATGTTCAACAGAGACTTCATGAGAGTGGGGTGGAGAGTCAGACAAAGGTTGAGCAAGAGGCTGAGTCCTCCTGGCTTAGTCATGCTAAGGCTGCACAGGCCTCCAAAAAGGCCCAGAAGTTTGGCTGCTGTTAGCAACAAGTATGATAATCAATATTACACTATCAGTAGCGGTCCCTGGCCTTTAACTGGTCCTCCAAAATCTCCCCATACAATGAGAGAGGGCCCGGGAGACCTGGCTCTGGCAAAGGGTGAGGAAGGGCAGGACCGTAAAGAAGCTAGGGGGAGTAAAGGCTCTGGGGGAAGGGGGTGCCCCACAGCTGGGCTCTGGGGGATGCAGGTATCTGGGCTCTGGGGTGGCCCCCCCACACACAGTCCCCTCCTGCATCCCCCAACTGGAACCAGGTTGTCACAGGGGTTTAATTCTCTACTCCTGGGGCAATTTTTTGTTGTCGTCTCTATTGTGACATTCTTGTTGACAGATATTTTGAAATAAATTACCAACATAATTTAAACTGGAGTGATTATACTGTGTTCTGTTGACAAATAAAATACGCAGAACTTTAAACTGTGTGCAGGATTGTTTGGTGCAGAATTCCCCCGGGGAGTAAATATTAGGCACCTAACTGCCGTCGAGGATCTGGGTCTATGGGCGTTTCACTCTCTTGCCATGCT